ATGTGGCACAGATAATGCACAATGTTCAACTGAGGAAGGAGTGAGGATTGTAAGGCTATATGGACAGAGGCTGCTGTGGACACAAGAGACAGCTGAGCTAAATGAATTTGGAGCACGTGAGAACAGAATTAAGAGGGCCAAATAGTAGAAAAATGATTGACAGTGGCTGGAAACAAAGGGAGCCAGCTAAACACAAAGAAAACCCAGAAACTAAACACTAAAACAAACAAACATGGAAATAAACCCCAAAACAGAAAATTAAACACTCAAAAAACACTGATCGTAATACAAAAAGGTAATTTTAAAGMGCTTTTGTTCATTCAGACGTTTTTCAGCATGTATTTTCCTAATAAAGTGTCTACTCAGTCTTTAGGTTAGGTTGTATTGTTTAATTTAAAATATAAGCATGCCATAATGTATTCTTTAACATTCTGGATCCTCCTTCTGTTGCCTTTTTAAGCTGCTTCGCCTTTGATTAGTATTACTCTAGCTGCTTTGTTTAAATTCAGCTCTGCTCAAGTTTAGTCCTGCCTCCGTTGTGAATTTGTCCCTCACTCTGTGGGGTGGATCGTGGGCTGGAGCTCCAGTAGATGCTCCACTTATGTAATTTTCCAGCGAAACTATGCCATAGATGGGTGGCAAGGTGGCTCCGTTGGTAGAGCATGTTGCCTCTCTTCAAAAAGTTTGTCCGATCAAACCCCAGTCTGGGAATTTTTTGGGTAGAGTTTACATGTTATCTCCCTGTATGCATGGATTTTTTCAATTCAGTTCAATTCAATTCAAAAATTGTATTCATTTAATTAAAAATACTATATAGAATAATAAAAAATAAACCAAAACCAAAAAATATACAAATCAAAATAAAATGAAAGGCAGCAGAAGAAGAACGTATCTTATTTTGTCTGCCCCTTTTCGACCCAGAATATATTCAAATGAAACATAATTTACAAAACGATACTAAATAACATAAAAAATAAAAATAACAACAACATAAAAACATTAACTCAAAAAACAAATCAAATAGCTTCACATTTTACTTTTCATAAATCTTCAAAAAAATTGCTTTTATCTGTCTCTTAAATATATACTTTGATCTAGCATTTTTAAGATCATCTTCCAGACCATTCCATAATCCTATACCTTGGATTAAAGTACATCTTTCTTTCAAGCAAGTACGAAAATATGGCTTCACAAACATTTCCATCCTATTTAGATAATAACAACTGTCTCTCTTAACAAAGTTTACCTGAATGTTGGAAGGTAATATGTTCGTGTGAGCCTTGTACATAAAACAGTAAAATATTGTAGTCAGTCAAATCATAGAATTTCAAAATTTTCAATTTAAAAAATAATGTATTAGATGGATAGTTGTAATCTTTTCTCGCAATAATTCTTACGGCTCTTTTTTGTAAAACAAAAATTGGATTTGTAATTGTTTTGCAAGCTTTACCCCATATTTCAATACAGTAAATTAAATGTGGAACAATTATTGAATTGTACAACACAAGCAGAGCCTTGTCATTGGACAGTACTCCTATAGATTTAGATATTTTGGTTCTCAAATAATGTATGTGAGGTCTCCATGTCAGCTTGTCATCCATGACGTCACCCAGAAATTTCACCTCACTGACTTAACAGATCTCAGTACCATCTACTTTAAATGAAAAATCAACAGTTGTCTTCCTATTATTAAATATCACATCATTTGTTTTATCCAAATTTAATGATACTTTGTTTTGTTGAAACCAATTTTGTATTTTCTCAAATTCTTTCTGTACCATCTCGAACATACTGTATTTTCTATATCTTTACCTAAAAAAATGTTGTATCGTCAGCAAATAAAACCATTTAAAAAGTCCTGACACATTAACTAACTCATTTACATATAAAATAAATAACTTAGGTCCCAGTACAGAGCCCTGAGGGACTCAACATGTAATATTACCAAGTTTAGAGCTTACACCATTTATCTGTTCAAACTCTTTCCTATCTTTCAAATAACTGGATACCCATTGTAGTGCCAACCCTCTAATACCATATTTACTTAATTTTTCAAGAAGAATACTGTGATCAATTGTGTCAAATGCTTTCTTTAAATCTACATAAATACTCAAACAATGCTGTTTTTGATCGATATCAGTTGTTATTTGCTCCATAAATTCCATAAGAGCCATTGATGTGGAATTTTTAGTTCTAAACCCATACTGACTACTACTTAAAATATTGTGCTTTTCGATAAATTGATCCAATCTAGTGACAAATAATTTCTCAAAAATTTTAGAAAATGGTAGCAAGGATACTGGTCTGTAATTTTTGAACATATGTTTTTCACCATTTTTAAAAAGAGGAATTACCTTGGCTGTTTTCATRTTGTCAGGAAATATACCAGTTGAAAATGATAAATTACAGATATATGTAAATGGTTCAATCCCATAATTTATTATTACTTTTACAAGCATCATGTCCATGGCACCCGCTTTGGATGTTATCATCCATGAAATGGATGTTATTAGGCACTTTCAGTCCCCTATAATGGCTTCAGAATGACACGCCTGTGCCAGTTAGCAGGTTCCCAGTCCCATAGAATGGCTTCCGATTGTCAGCTGGTTAGTATGAGGCATAAAGCCACTATCTGGTTAATATGAGGTATAAAACCACTATCTGGTTAACATGAGGCATTAAAAAAACTGGTTAATATGAGGCTTAAAGCCACTAAGGTTAACTTTAGAGCAAATGACATGGTTAGCGCTAAAGACACTGCCCTCCAACGGATGTTTATTGTGGCCTTCCAATAGGGCAATGTGTAGAGTGTTGGAACAGAGAGCAGGAGACCAGGGCTTGAGACCGATGCGGACACAAAAAATTTATTACAATATGTTTTGCTTATTTACACATTCATTATCATTGATATATTAGCCCACTAGGGGGCACTGTCGGGACAGTCTGAAGGCTAGAAGGCACAGTAGGGACCCTCTGAAGCCATTGTATGGGACTGATAACCCACAATAACATCCATTTCATGGACTGATAACATCAGAATCCCCTGTCCATGTCGACCCAGCCTTTTGATCTTTTGTCAGCAAGATTTTTTTTTTTTACCAAACTCAATATTTCTTCTTTGTTAGTTTCAACAAGAAATACCCTGTTTGTACAATCCATAACTGTGTGACTCACAATCTTATCCACTTTTGGTATTTTTGCTGCAAGACTTGGGCCAACATTTACAAAATAATTATTAAACCCATCCACAATTTCATTCTGGTCGTGAATCTCACCACCATCCTCCACAAAATGTTGTGGAATACCCGACCCTACTTTGTTATTTTTCAAAACATCCATTCAAAACATTAATCACTGGGTACTCAGGTTCTTATCATAGACAGTCCCAGCAACGATGGCACCAAAGGTGGCTTAAACGACTGTTTGCAATGAAAAAATAAGCAGAAGAGGCGTTTGGTATTTCCGAGAGGAGTTTCAGGCCCCGCCTTGGCTCATCCAGCGACAGCTTCTCTAGCCAATCAACATTTTCACCAGCATTTTAATCGATTTGTTTCAGTTATGGAACAGCAGCCGAGATTATCCAACAAACTTGGATTCAACAAGCAATGGCGACATGCCTAACTGGTGCAGAGTTGTATTGAACTGAAGAGAATTGAGTCCATGGAGAAGGGACTTTAGTAACACTAGTTGCTTATCCAGCCTTCTCAGTGTGTRAACTTCTGACCACAACTGGATCTGAGAAACCCTGTAGTTTTCAGTCCACTGCCATCAAGTGGAAAATGAGTAAARGTGTTTTAGCCAGGGACTGTTTGTTTGTGTGTTCATTTGCATGTTGTATTGAGAAATTATCTAATAAACGGCTACACAACTTTTAATGAAACTTTCAGAAAACGATAATTAAACTGCTTACACAAAAACAACCCACCAATTTTATTTTTTTTTACAAAAAATTGAGATATAAATGTGTGCAATTATAGCTGAGAATCACACATACTTTGAGCACTAACAGGTTAAGCGAGATCTTACAGTATTGCTTGAGATTACAGAAAGTTTAACCGTACCTCACAGAAATAACTTCTGATCATACTTATAAAATGTATGTTACAAAAGGTGGTGGATAATATGAATTTCCTTTACAAAATAATAGGCTTTATTTTGTAGTAAAAGCTATTTCGATTGCTTTGTTGTCGTATGAATAACTTCAGTGATTACAGTGAATTGGATCCTGTCTCTTTGGTGATGACACTGATATTGATTTTATTTTGGTTGTTTGAGATGCAGCATCCATCCTAACAATGTAACACAGGTTTCATGCTTTCAGCTTTCAGCACATGTATTCACATCTTATGGAAAATGATGTACTGTAATTAGAGGAGATGCGGAGCCTTCAGCTAAACCACTCAGGCCATTCTGATAAGACATTCCCATCATTGTCAAAATGAACYGGTGACATTAAAGGACAATAACGGAAAGCCCTGCTTTCATCAGTAGGTTATTCTAGGTCATTTTAATTATAGGAGTATGGCACCAAAGGCCTGGATAAGAATGACACAGACCTCCACTGGCAGTAGTTGGAAAAATGGTGAATAATGATGGACAGACTGAATTCACACGTTGGAGCTTTGTTATTAACCATGAGGTTTGTGTGATTGGCAGGTTCAAAATAATGAGAGTTACAACCTTAAAGCTGTATTTGTTAACATTTTCAAACAAAAAAAATCTTATTGACATTCATGATGCTACTTGAGAATTTAAATGTCAAAAGAAAAAAAACAAAAATAGCACCCAGTTTTGTGTTAAGTCATAATTTCACTGGAGTTTGTTTTAAGATCAGTATGAACAGCAAAAACTCTCAGGTCTAAAATTGTGCTGGTCATCCATTATTTAATCACTTCTATCAAGATTATTGATTATAAAAAAACTCTTTAAGGTCGCAACAAAATCACTCTTTTGTCTGTCATGATACTCCYATTTATCTTCTTGATGCTTAATCTCTACAGCTGTGTCGACCATCACACCTCCACTCACGGCAAGTGAGCCTGTCGAGCACCTGCCTCCACCCCAACACATCAGTAAGGAGTCCTGGAAGAGCAACAGGTAAGACCGGGAGCTTTATAATACCACACCTTCAGCTACATTCAAGTGAAAAATGTCTGATGAAAATCTGAGTCATGCTAGTGTAGCTAATGCCAAATATCAACGTCAACTTTATAATAATCTAAAATGAAATGCTTGTATTCAGTGGTGGACAAAGTGCTCAACTCTAATACTTGAGTAAAAGTATTGATACTAATGCTCAAATCTTACTCAGTCTGAATACTTTCCGTGCCCACTAAATGTCAGCGCCAGAAAACTCCAAAGAAGACTGAGGTTTCTCACCAGTGTCTTCAAAATCCTGACTGTTGTCTATGAGCAAATTTTTATTTTATTTTATTTTATTGAACTGTGAATTTTGCCCATGTTKTATATTCTACCCCTTGTAAAAGTCCTTGCACTGTGGCTGCTGGATTTGGGCACCAGTGTCCCCCGTGACCCTGAAAGGAATAAGCGGGTATAGATAATGGATGGATGGATGGATGGAAGTAAAAGTCCTATTTTGACACAAAAGTTGCATTTACTTATTTAATTAATTAATTAATGAATTACTTAACTTTA